GTGATCCTCTTTCATCATTGGTCCCTCTCTCCCTCTCTCTCTCTCTCTCTCTCTCCCTCCCTCCCTCCCTCCCTCTCTGACATCGATGAAATGCAGTAAGCCGGTGGGTCTGCGCCCGCGCCCAGGCCCCTGGCCGACCCGCCGCCATCACACCGACCTCGCTCCGGCCGAGCAGCCGCCCCTCCCGCCGCCCCGGCCAGGCCCCTCCACTGAGGACCCAGCCCACGGACAGCAGCCAGGCCGTCACTGTTTGGCCGTGAACCACGAGGGCCCGGATTCCACCGAGGTCACGGCCCGGGTCCCGCCCAGGCCGGCCCCCTGGCTGACCCCTCCCAGGCGCTGTGGCAGGAATCTGGATGGACTGATGACGCCACACACAGGCCCGGGCACACACACCGTCCCAGGACGCGGACGGTCATGTTGTCATGGCTACGTGCACGGCCGGGCGGGGACCGGGAGCGTGGGGGAGGGAGGGAAGGGGGGGAGGGACTTCGTAAGTCACACGAGTGTCTACTCGCTGGGCGGGACCCCTGAACGGACTCTAATATTGCACATCAACAGTAATTAACCTGGCCGGTGTGGCTCAGTGGATAGAGCGTCGGCCTGCAGACTGAAGGGTTCCGGGTTCGATTCTGGTCAAGGGCATGTACCTTGGTTGTGGGCACATCCCCAGTGGGGGGGGGGTGTGTGTGTGCAGGAGGCAGCTGATGGATGTTTCTCTCTCATCGATGTTTCTAACTCACTATCCCTCTCCCTCTCTATACAAAAATCAATAAAATATATTAAAAAAGAAAGGAAGAGCTGAGACCGGTTTGGCTCAGTGGGTAGAGCGTCGGCCTGCGGGCTGGGGGGTCCCGGGTTTGATTCCGGTTGGGCACGTCCCCGGTGGGGGGGGGGTGCAGGAGGCAGCTGATCGATGTCGCTCTCTCATCGATGTTTCTAACTCTCTATCCCTCTCTCATTTCCTCTCTGTATAAAAATCAATAAAATATATTTTTAAAAAAGAGAAAGGTCACAGGTTTGATTCTGGTCAAGGACACACGCCTGGTCGTGTATTGATGCCCAGAAAAGGGCGTGCAGCAGGCAGCCAATCAGTGATTCTCTCTCATCACTGATGTTTAACTCTCGATCCCTCTCCGTTCCTCCCGGTAACATAAATTTAAAGAGCAGCAAGCAGGCCTCTGGGGCTGCCGGCCGTGCCCACGCCCAGCAGGCGCCGTGCTGAGCCTCCGCGGTCACCTTGCGAGGCTCGCACACAAACACCTCCTGTCGCCGAGGGGCCTGTGACTGGTGCCCGGGCCCCGATGGTTCCCTTGGCAACCGAGGCTGGCTGGGGCCAGTCCGTCCTCTCGCCTCAGCCTGCCTTTCTCCTTGGGGTGTCGCCGTGTGGGGAGGACGGAGGGTCCCAGAGCCAGGCACGGCCAGCCGGCGCCCTGGGACAGGCCGAGACCCCGGCCCATGCTGTGGGCTGCGCTCCCAGCTCGCTCGGCGCTGATGCCGGACACGCAGTCCGGGGACCACGTCCGGCCCCGTGGGCCGCGGTCCCCAACGGCTGTCGGTGAGGTTCCAGTCTCCCCGGCTCTGGAAACCGGTGTCAGAATCCACGGCAACCCCGCCGGGCGCTCCCACCTGGGCTCTGCTGCCCTCGTGTGGGGATCCAGCACGCTCGGTCCCGAGGCCCGGGGCCTGTGCTCGCACGCGCTGGGCGTGGCTGTTTGTCAGAGGCAGACACGCCGCCCTCGTGAACCGGGGGGCTCTCGCCCGGCCGGTGTGGCTCAGGGGTGAGCGTCGGCCCACGAACCAGGTCAGGGATGGATTGCGCCAGGGCACAGGCCCGGGTCATGGGCTCCATCCCGTGTGGGGCGTGCAGGAGGCAGCCGACCCGAGGTTCTCTCTGCAGTCCATAAAAACCTGTTTTTAAATACCGGAACAGGCGTCCATTCCTTAAGGGGCAACCTCAGGTGCGTTGTCCCCTCTTGGAGGTGACCCGCAGGGGAGGTAACCCGAGTGTTTAGACTCCAACCCGCAAGCCCATGGCCACCAGCATGGAGCACAGGCGCCCCCATGTGGCGGGCGGGGAACCATCCCGTCGGGGACGACCCTGGGTCAGGGTAAGGGCACTGAGACAGAGAACGGGGCGCCCCGGGGAACAGCAGGGGTTTGAATCAGCCTGACAGAGGCCCCAGGAGGGAGCCAGTGCCCTGGAGCAGGCCAGGCCGGTGCTCCGTCACGTGTGTCAAACCAACGGCCCAGGGTGTGCACTCAGCGGCTGGGCATCGACCAAGGAGCCAGGTCACGGCTGGGTCCCAGGTCAAAGCACAGGCTCGATGCCCAGTGTGGGGTGTGCAGGAGGCAGCCGATCCATGATTCTCATCGTTGATGTTTCTCTCTCTCTCTCCCCCTTCCTCTGCGGATAAAATATATTTTAAAAACAAATAAAAGAAACTGTTTTAAGGTGCATTGCTGGTGCCTGTGCAGTTTCTGGGTGGGTTTGGCAGGTGAACGTGAACAGTATCATGGCTGCTGCCGTCCGCCCTCTGCGTGCCTAGAGCATCCCCACCCGCACGGGACTGGTGCTGGCCCCCCTGCGCCCTCCGCTTCTCCTCCGGCTCCGCCCTGGCCACGTCTGATCCCGTCAGGTCCTGGCTGTAAGCTTTCAGGCAAGATCGGAGCCGCTCGTAGGTCCCAGCCCAGTTCTGCGGCAGCCCTGGGGTCCCCTCCTCTGCCGCGGCAGCAGGGCCCGGCCTGCGTGCGGACGGGTCTGAGCCTCCCGAGGGGCTCCTTGGCTTGGAGGGTTTCCCAGACGCAGGTCCCAGGACCGGATGGAGACCACAGGACGCCCCCCCCACCCGTGGTGGATCCGGGGTGCTGTCCCCGAGGGCTCCCGCCCAGGACTCTGACATGCACTGCAGTTGCTTTTGCTCCTTGAACCCTAAGCTCATCACAACTGGGGGGTGTGCTGGGCTCCCCCCGGTCACCCTCTGGGCCACAGCCTGGACACACTCCAGGGAGCAGCTGGAGTATTTATTATTGGTGTATCTTTATTGACTTCAGAGGAAGAGAAACATCAATGATGAGAATCATCGATCGCCGGCCTCATGCACGCCCCTACTGGGACCGGGACCTCCTGGTTCTTAGGCTGACGCTCAACCACTGAGCCATGCTGGCCAGGCTGGAATTTATTTTTAAATCCTCACTGGAGGATCTTCTTTTGTCGATTTTTCTTGAGAGGAAGAGAGACAGAGTGGGAGAGAAACATGGATGTGAGAGGACGCAGCTCTTGGTGCCTCCCTCACCCCCCAAGCAAGGCTGGGATTGAACCTGTACCTGAGGCACATGCCCTTGACCCTTCAGCCTGTGGGATCCCCTCACCAGTGAGAAGGGACCAGGGCGAAGCGGGGTTGTTCAAGGGGCTCAGCCCATGTTCCCGTTTCGGTCCCTGCTCCTCCTGGTCGGATGGGAAACTGTCACCCGGTAGACTCGTGGCTGGAGAGTGATTTTAAATGTTCTTGGTGACGGGAAGCAGTGACCGCGGGGGAGAACTGCTGTGGGAACCATTTCACCGAGACGGCACTGCCAGGCAACCCCTCCCTCGTCCTGTGAGCCCGAGGGAAGGTGCTGAGGCCCTGGGACGTGTGAACTCTCCCGCCCACAGCAAACAGCTTACAAACACAGCAGGACATTTAAGATCCAGCGCCCACACACACACACACACACCCCCTGCACTGCAGCGCCTGGAAGGGCTCCTCCGACTTCAGAACAGAATCTAGCTCAGCATTAACTCAAACATGCAAGTGAATCTGCTCCTGTGGCTTTTCTACAGTGAAATTGAATCAGTTCTACCCTTTGTATTCCTCTTTTCTGCATATTTAAGTGATTCTTCCTCTTCCTAAGGTAACTCTGTAAGGAAACAGGACAGCTGAAGAGCTTTGGTAAAACTACAGCAGAACCTCCTCACATGAGCAAAACCGCTCCTCCCCCGGACTCCCAGTTCTATGGGGGGGGGTCCCCAGGGCCACACCTCCTTACAGAAACCACCCAAAGGCCACTGAGCGGACCGCCTGGTTGTCCGTCCACAGCCTCGCACCATCACAAAGTGAAAGCATTACAGCTGTGGTGTGAGTGAAACCCTTCCTTTTGGCACCCAAGCTTGGGAGCAACCTGAAAGCAGTGGCAAACGGAACACCTCCTGGGCTCTCTCCATCCACATCAGCACCAGAGCCCCAGGCAGGCCAACAGGCATTCCCCTCCTCCTTACAGAGGCTGTTGCCCGCCATCACCCACAGGCCCACCCGCTGAACTGTGCTGCCCGTGGTGGCCTTGGCCGTCCTATCGAGCAGCGGTCAGCAAACTCGTCAACATAGCAGCAAACCGCAGCTCGCGAGCCAGTTCACCGACCGCTGCTACAGAAGCGGCCGTGGTTCTGAGCGCCTGTGGCATCACCGCCTTCCCTCTGGCAGCACCGCGGCGAAGGCAGTGTGGACACGACCGCGTTGGCAATACTGACAAGTCCACAACTTACCACACACACACCTCGGACCTGTCATTGCATTTGTGTGAAAGGACCAAATGCACAGAAAACAAAGCCTAGGAGCATCGCATCAGCTACAGCACATCCTCCTCGCCAGCCGTTTTCAGACGCTTATGAAACAGGGATCAGCTCGCTTGCTCAGATATTTGAAATACAACTTTATTCTGATCTAAACGAGAAGGAATGGGAATGACAGTAACAAACAAGGTTTCACCACTGAGTATTGTGATGCGACTGCAGCATTCTTATCGTTGAAACTCAATAAGGAAACTGTGTTCCAAACAGCTAAATATGCGGTCCAAAGTGAAGGTATTGACTGCCACATTCACTCGAAGCCCATCCATCTTCAGCATCCCGGGGTCAAGCACAGGTTCTGCTCAGCTACATAACAAAGTGGCAAACACGGCACCACTGGCCTCACAGGACAGTTGCCTATAAAACTAGACTCCTGACGCTGGGCTCCGCCCCCTCACAGGTCGTCATCCTCGTCCGGGAGCGCGGTGGTCTGAGCGACCTGCGGAGAGAGGGCGTGTCAGCCTCGGATTCGGCGGCGGGCGGGCAGGCGGGCGCTCTCCCGTCGCCGGAAGGCACTCACCTCGAGGTCATGCTCGTACTGTGCTGCCAGCGCGGGGTCCATGACCACCTCGGGGGGGGCAAGAGCAGGCATGGCGACGAACTCCAAGTTCGGGTCCCCGATGAGCTTCCTAGCGAGCCAGAGGAAGGGCTTCTCGAAGTTGTAGTTGCTTTTGGCAGAAATGTCGTAGTACTGTTAAGAGAGGCAGATGCGACTTGGTTATTCTGCGAGACTCTCCGATCCACATGTCTGAGTCCGTCACGGACCGACCCCCACACGGCACTCCCACCGAGGGGCCACGTCCGTGAGCTAGGACACGCACCTGGAGGTTCTTCTTTCGGTGGAAGACGATGGACTTGGCCTTCACCTTCCTGTCCTTGATGTCCACTTTGTTGCCACACAGGACGATGGGGATGTTCTCACACACGCGCACCAGGTCTCGATGCCAGTTCGGCACGTTCTTGTAAGTGACTCTCGAGGTGACATCGAACATGATGATAGCACACTGGGCTGGAGGGTAGATTTGGAGATTAGCCCCTTCCCAGGGATTTCCACGCGGAGGGGAAATAATAAGACTATGACTTTGAACTCATGGCCTCAGGTCAGCCAGGTGTCTCCATTCCGAGCCTCCCAATGCTAGGTACCACTGCATTGAACACCACGTGTACGAGGGGGACCTCGTTTCTCAAACTCAATTTGTCCCACAAGGCTGTTAAAGACCAAATCATTTTCCTCCATTAGAAACAGTGTAAACCCAACTAACCCATTCCAGTCCCCCAAATGATCCCATTTTAGCCTTTCTTATACTCAGTGCAAGTCTATTGTGCTATGAACAGTAAAAATAAAAAGGACACGAAATGTAAATTTAACAGAGGAAAGGAACTGTGTGGTAAGGAATGAGAATTTAATAAGTATCAGCAAGAAGAGTGAAAGGCATGAAAACATTCACAGCCCAACATCCTGAGGTGTGGGCAGTGTAAGCGGGCGCATGCTGGATTCTCCTGTCCCCAGAGAGGGTGATGGATCCCACAGGTGTCCCAGAAATTGAAGACCTGCCTGACACAGCCACGCCCTCCCCGAAACGGCTCATCCTTCCACCTCATCCGAGGATACAGAGCAGATTCCCGATCCTCAGTGTTCCAGAGACCTCTGCGTCACGAGGGTCTAGAATCCCGTCTTTAAAAGGCCCTTAAGCGACTGAGGACACAGGATGTTTTGTGTGTTTTTTAAAAGCCAGTGGAGCCTCTAGCTACTGATGCAGAGCTGTGATCGCCTAGCGTGTGCCCAAGGACAGCGTCAGAGCTGTTCTATGGGTTCCCGCACAGCGTTTAACAGGGCTGTGGACAGTTGTGACCAGAGTGAAGCCCCACAGGCCAGCCTTCTCTCTGGTCATCGTTTTGTTTGTTTCAACAATGAACATCCACTTCCTTTGCCGTGTTTAACCCAAGCATTTTAGGGGGAAACTCCCCCTCCCCCCCCAAAACCCAGTGCAGTAAAGTAAAAAAGAAACCAGCTGGTCTCTTTCAACACCGGCCACCAGCGCGCTAGCTCCCCGGGTCGTGTGTGGCCAGCCTGTCCGCCTCTCCTGAACGGGGCGGCTAAGAAATGGTCACTGGTGACCCCCCCAGACACCCAGTTCTTGCATGGATCCCTGTCCCCCGCACAGGCGGACGACTCCCCGAGGCCGCCATCACCTTCCCCCTCGGCCAGGAGGACGGGGCCCCTGGACCCCGGCCGCTCGCACCCCTGCGGCCCCCCCGCCCTACCTTGGATGTAGTAGCCGTCTCGCAGCCCCCCGAACTTCTCCTGGCCGGCCGTGTCCCACACGTTGAACTTGATGGGCCCTCGGTTGGTGTGGAACACGAGGGGGTGCACCTCCACGCCCAGGGTGGCTGAAACGAGGCGTGCAGGTCAGCCTGGAGCCCGCGCCCACCGCCCCGGCCCGGCCCGGCCCGGCGGCCCGCGCCTCACGTACCGACATACTTCTTCTCGAACTCGCCCGTCAGGTGGCGCTTCACGAAGGTGGTTTTCCCCGTCCCCCCGTCGCCCACCAGGACGAGCTGCCGGGACACGCGCGCTTTGAAATGAGCCCCCAACACACAGACCCCCCGCCGCCCCGCCCCGCTTCCGGGACCCCAGCGCCCGGAGCTGCTGCACTTCCGGGGACCCCACTTCCCGGGCGGAGACCCCCCCCCCCGAGCGGCCCCTTCGGGTCACTTTCCACCAAGGACCCGGAGCGGCTTCCGGGGCCCCCACCCCGGCACCTACTTTGAACTGCACTTGGGGTTCTCCTTGGGCGGCCATGGCGACGTCACTGCGGGGCGAGAGGAAGCGCTCAGCGCGGGCGGAGGGCGGGCCACATGGCGGCGGCCCACGTGCGCCCACAAAGGCGGCGCCCGCGCCCCGGCCCCGCGCGGAGGGCGGCGGCGGCGGCACGAGGCGGCAATGGCGGCGGGTCCCGCTCATCCGCGCCGCTGGCCGCGCGCCCGCCCGCCCGCCCGCCCGCCCGCCGCCGGGGCCGCGGGAAGCGCCTGGTCACGCGGCCGCCGCCGGGCCTCGGCCCTCGGCCCTCGGCCCGCTCCTCCGGGGCCTCCCTCCGGGGCGACCGCCGCCGCCGCCCTCCCGCCCCGACCCCGGCCCGCGGCCTCCGCCCGGGAGGAGGCGCCCGCCCGCCCGCCGCCCGCGCCCGCCGCCCGCCGCCCGGGCCGCAGTAACCGCCCGCCCCGGCCGCGCCCGGGCCTGCCGCCGCCGCGACGCCCCGGGCCCGCCCTCCGCCCCGGCCCGGGTCCCCCTCCCCGGCCCCGGCCCCGGCCCCGGCCCCGGCCCCGGCCCCGGCCCGCCCCGCCGCCGCCGATACCTTCCAGAACCGTCTCCCGGGCCGACTGACTGAGAGCTGGAAAGATGGCGGAAGCGCGATTCAAATGCCCGGAGACGCAGCCGACGCCGGCGCGCGCGCCGAAGGGGGCGGGGCAACGGCGCCGCGCCGCTCCCACGTGGCCCGGCGCGCGCGCGCACACACGCACGCACGCCGCCGGCCGCACCCGTCTGCGGCCGCGCACGCGCACGGCTACCAGCGAGCCACGTGCGCCGTCCGCGAGGGCGGGGGGGGGGGGTCCCCGCGCGCGCACATGCGCCGTCGGGGCGGCCGCTGCGGTCACAGAGCCGGGAGGGGTCGGCCCCGGCCGCCTGGGCGGGAAACGCGGGCGGCGTCCGCACACAAAGACCCCGGGACTCCCGCACGCACGGGCATGGACACGGCAGCCCCCTCTGGCGGCCTGGTTGGGGGGCGGTCCTCGATCCCCGGTCCTGGGTCTCCATCAGGACCTTGGGGGGTGCGGGAGGGAGGGAGGGGTACAAAGGGTGCCCTCGGTCCGCAGGTTTTGGGGTCGTTTCCTGCCCGCGGGGTGATGCGTTTGCGTGTTTGCAGCCCGCGCCGCTCATCCTAGCGGCAAACCCGGATGCAGCTCCTGAGTGTGGAGGTCCCAGGCTCTGGGCCGAGGGCCGTGGGCCCGGACAGGAGCCTGCACTGAGCCGTCCCTGCTCCTGCCGTCCCTGCACGGAGAAGGGGAGGAAGGCCACGTGCTGACCCCTGGGCTCAGGGAAGGCCTGCCTGGCGCTTTTGCAAACTCAGACCTCAAGTAACCTGGAGGGATGGTCTGAGATTAAATATTGACCTAAAAGCAGTTCACAGCGGGCAGTCAATTCCTGGGCCAGTCTTTTCCCTGCAAAGGACTTCGGATCTTTATGGAGCCTGTTGTCTTTCTTGCATCTAAGACAGTTTGGCTCAAATACACTCAAAATTCTTTACAGTTTTTTAAAAATATATTTTATTCATTTTTTACAAAGAGGAAAGGGGAGGGAGAGAGAGTTAGAAACATCGACGAGAGAGAAACATCCATCAGCTGCCTTCTGCACACCCCCTACTGGGAATGTGCCCGCAACCAAGGTACATGCCCCTGACCAGAATCGAACCTGGGACCCTTGAGTCCACGGGCCAGCGCTCTATCCAATGAGCCAAACCGGTTTCGGCTTGTTTGTTGTTTTTTTTTTACAGGAACCTTAGGATGCCCCCCTCCAAGGGGTGGTCAGGTGAGACAATGAGATGATATTTTAAAATATATATATATATATATTTTTACTGATTTCAGAGAGGAAGGGAGAAGAAGAGAGGGATAGAAACATCCATGATGAGAGAGAATCATGGACCAGCTGCCTCCTGCATGCCCAACACTGGGCATGGGCCCTGACCGGGATTTGTACCGAGACCTCCTGGTTCCTAGGATGAGACTCAACCCCCGAGCCAGGCCGGACGGGGGCCACTATTTTAACTGATGTCTAGCGTGTCTCCCCCCCCCCCCCCCCCCCCCCCGCCCCAAGCCAGCGCCCAGGAATGGCAGCGGCAAAGACAGCAGGTGTCCCTTCCCAGGAGCAGGGCTCAGAGGAGGCCCCGGGGACTGGCCCGGAGCAGAACCCACAAGACCCGGGGCCTCGCCACGCGTCCCCGGCGCTCTCGCAGGCGGGCCTGCTGGGAACCCGGTGACGCAGGTTTCTGCCCGCCAGGGACGGGGACACGGGGCCCCAAGGACCGAGGACAACTCCCCACAGACCCGCAAGCCGCTGGCGGGCGCGGACGTTGGTCCCGCCTCCTGGACCGCGGGCACGAATAAAACACACATGTCCTGCGTCCACATCCCTGCGTGTTCACTTCTCGGCAGATGCCCCGAGTTCAGCATACGGAGACGGGCCACAGTGCTCACTGTGACATAATAGCGATAAGCGGAACCTCCGTGGACGTCCAGTTGGGAAAATGTATCCGTAAACGATGGCATAGCTATTCTATGGATTCCTGTACAGCAATTAAAAAATATTCTTATTGACGTCAGAGAGGGAGGGAGAGGGATGGAGAGAGAAACGCCAGTGATGAGAGAGAATCATGGATGGGCTGCCTCCTGCATGCCCCAACATTGGGGATCCAGCCGGCAACGTGGACATGTGCCCTGACCAGGAATCGAACCCTGACCTCCTGGTTTCTAGGTGGATGCTCAACCCCTGAGCCACGCCAGGGGGCCAGCATTTAAAAAGGGTAAAGTTTATCTGCATCGCAGGGGTCGCCAGATCGCGAAAGGATGATGTGGGGAAAAAGTGAGTTCTTGCAAGGTGTGGCCGTAGCTTTATGTCATGGTGGGGGTGGGTGACGAGCAGATCTGGCCTCAGAGAGCTTTCACCCCAAAAGGAAGAGGCAGGAAGGAGACGCAGCGGGGACGGGGGATGTAGGAGACAGCGATGGCGGCTGGGGTGAGTGAACACAGCAGGTGAGGAAGACGGGAGGTCAGACGGGGTGGCAGTGAGGTGGGGTGACCTGCTGGAGGGGAGGAGAGGGGCCCCACACCGGGCTGAGGGGCGAGAACCCCCGGGAGGAGGCCAGTGGCTGGAGCCGGCGCTCAGGGGCAGGTGGGGCTCCCGGCTGGGCTGTGGTGGGTATAACCAGGGCGTTGGCAGGAGGGAGGGGGGAGGACCTGGTAGGGAGAACAGCGGGTGCTTCTCTCCAGCGAGAGGAGCTTCAGACGCGGACTGTGGCCGTTGGGTGGGGCAGATGCTTTCTGTGGAAGAAACGTTCATTCTGCGCCCCGTACAGATCACTTCAGGAGAGCCTGGTCTGAGGGGGGAGGGTGGGGAAGGTCGTGAGGACATAGGAGCCTGTAACGGGCACAGCAGGACGCCCAGAGGTTGAGACAGGCCTGGGGCACTCTATCTATCTATTATCTACCTATCTGTCTATGACTGGACATCTGCATGTTTATATATAGATCTGGATCTAGTATCTATAGCATACACTGCATAGTATCTATGTCTCTATGTAGTGCTTATCTGTACACAGATAGATACAGGTATTTCTGTATGGACATATAGCTACACACATAATTTTGAAGGTATAAATGTGAAAAATCCCAGACTGCAATATATATTTTCTACAACATAATTAAATTATATATATATGCCAGGTTATTATGATCTCTAAATGCATAATAATCTAACCACTCAGTGTGTGTGTGTGTGTGTGTGTGTGTGTATGAGACCCAGTGCATGAATTCGTGCATGGGTGGGGTCTTACCAGCCTGCCCAGGGGGAGGGGACATGGGTGGTTGGCCGGCCTGCCTGCTGGTGGAACTCCTGGTCGAGGAGACAATTTGCATATGAGCCTTTTATTATATAGGATACACACTGAGTGGCCAGATGATTATGCCTTCAGAGATCATCCTCATCTGGCCACCCAGTGTATATATTGAAATGTCAGTATATATATTTTTTCAGGGATTCAACATTGAGGTACATTTAAAGGCCTGCTCTGAATGAACCGACTCTTGTATGACACAGTCATCGCCAACGCGACCTCACTGTGCTATTTATAAGGTAACTACAGGGCGTGTTGACTTTCCAGGGCCGCAGTCACAGAATACCAGGACGCAGGTGCCCTCAAATAGCCCCAGGCCCGGGGTTCCCCCATCACGGGGTGGGCAAGACCCGGCCCTCCTAGGAGACTGTCCCAGGCTTTTCTCCGAGCCCCTGACATGCCAGGTGGGGAGGCATCCTCCCTCGTTCTCCTCTGACACTGCCTGGGGTTCCCCCGCTCTGTCTCCCCCGGTCATCGCTCTGCGTGTTTGTGTCCTAACCTCTTCCGCCTAGAACAGTGGTTCTCAACTTTCCAATGCCTCGACCCTCTAATACAGCTCCTCATGTGACCCACAGGGCGAGAACCGCTAGCAGGGTCGCCTGAGACCATCGGAAAACACAGATATTCACATTACGATTCATTCACAGGAGCGGAACTACAGCTATGAAATCAGTAGCAACATTACAGCTATGAAGTAGCGACGGAAATACTGTTATGGTTGGGAGTCACCACGGCGTGAGGAGCTGTGTTAAAGGGCCGTGGCGTCAGGAAGGCTGGGAACCGCTGGCCTAGAAGGACACTACCTCCTGACCCTCGTTGTCGGCTTTAAAAAACAACCACACGTGTTTTTACTGATTTCAGAGAAGACGAAGAGGGAGAGAGAGAGAGAGAGAGAGAAACATCAGTGATGAGAGAGAATCATGAATCCATTGGCTGCCTCCTACATGGCCCACACTGGGGATTGAGTCTGCAACCCAGGTCTGTGCCCTGACCGGGAGTCGAACTGTGACCTCAGATTCGTAGGTCGATGCTCAGCCATGGAGCCACACCGGCCGGGCTAATGGCAGCATTTCAAGGCCTTTTTTATTTTTTTCTTGGATGACAAGGGTGATGAAAGTCACCAGTCGTAGGGGAGAAGGATCTCGTTCTGTTTCCATTCACATATCCTCGGGTGAGGATTAAAAATAAAATAAAATAAAAATAATAATAAAATAAATGAGAACCACAGAATTTAAAAATAGGCCAGCACCTTCGGGGGCGCCACTCCCAGCGGTGCTGCTGGCCAGGGTGTCCCACTGGGTGAGCTGTTTGACACCCACGCTGGGTGTGGGCCCGGCCCCTCGCAGGGTCCCGGGAGGCTGTGAGAGCGTTGTGCACACGGCTGGCACTGGTCAACGAAGCCCGTCACCTACGGAGAGAAGGCACTCACTCTGCAGAGGGAGGACCCGGTGTTCGCCAGGAGTAACCTCGTTCATGCAGCTCGTTTACAAAAGGGGTCCCCTGTGCTGGACAGAAACCCCTGGGCCCCTCCTTGTTTGGGGGGACCCTCCTTGTGTGGCATGAAGGCACCGAGCTTGTGCTTATTTCAACAGCCGTGGTAGACGGGGCTGCAGCGGGCGGCCTCAGGAAGCCATCTCCAGACCATGAATCTGGCTCCATCTTTATTTTTAAATTTCTATTTACTTATCTTTTTACAGAGAGGAACTGAGAGGGAAAGAGAGTTAGAAACATCGATCAACTTCTTCTTACACCCCCGCCCCCCCCCCCCCCCCCCCCCCCGGGGATGTGCCCGCAAACCAAGGTCCATGCCCTTGCCTGGAATCAAACCTGGGACATTTTAGTCCCCAGGCTGACGCTCTGTCCACTGAGCCACACCGGTCAGGGCTGGCTCCATCTTTAATGCTTGTATGCTTCCTAATGTTTTTTCCCCCTATACCTATATTTACCTAGAATGCAGCATAATGTATAAATTAGGCCAGTGAGAGATGAACCATGAGCCGAAACCGGTTTGGCTCAATGGATAGAGCGTCAGCTTGGGGACTGAAGGGTCCCGGTTTCGATTCCAGTCCAGGGCATGTACCTTGGTTGCGGGCACATCCCCAGTAGGAGGTGTGCAAGAGGCAGCTGATCGATGACTCTCTCTCATCGATGTTTCTAACTCTCTCCCTCCTCTCTGTACAAAATCAATAAAATATATTTTTAAAAAAGACATGAACAATGAATCATCAAATATAAACTTGAATGAGAGCCGGGCCAGTGTGCTGGCCTCACCTTCCCCCGAAGGCCTCTCTGGTACCCGAACCGCCCGCATCGGGATCAGAGACGGGGACGCTGCCCGCTCCCCCTGCCGGCCTCTCCAGTCCCATCCCCAACTTCCGGCCCCTTCAGCCTGTGGGCAGCGCTGGACCTCCTCCCCTTCCCGGATCCTGAAGACCAGGCCGTGCGGGGTGCGTGCGTGCGGAGCGGCACCTGCTCATCTCCATCGCCCCGCCGCCTGCGCAGCAGCGAGGCCCGTTTCCTAAGAAGAGAGGGAAAGCCGAACTCTGAAGCAAACCAACCGGAACTAACGGCGCTTTTCCGCTGGCGACCAGAGCACAGCTCGCCGGGCTCCGCCCCAGCCCCGCTGCCCAGCCCCGCCCCTTCCCGAACAGGCCCCGCCCTCTCCGGCCCCGCCCCTTCCCAGCGGGCCCTTCCCCCTCCTCCGTCCGCCCGTTACTCCTGCCCCGCCAGGTCCCGCCCCCTCCGCAACAGGCCCCGCCCCCTCTCTGTCAGCCCGTTACTCCTGCCCCGCCAGGCCCCGCCTCTTCCAGAGCAGGCCCCGCCTCCAAGGCCCCGCCCCTTTTCAGCGGGCCCTTCCCTCTCCTTCACCAGCCCCTGTTATTCCTACCCCGCCAGGCCCCGCCCTTTCCCCGCCAGGCCCCGCCCCTCTCCATCAGTCTCCTGCCCCGGCAGGCCCCGCCCCTTCCCCAGTTTGCCCTTCCCCCTCCTTCACCAGCTCCTGTTACTCTTGCCCCGCCAGGCCCCGCCCTTTCCCCTCCAGGCCACGCCCCTCTCTACCAGCCCCTGTCCCGCCAGGCCACGCCCCTCCGCAGCAGGCCCCGCCCCCTCTCTGTCAGCCCTTTACTCCTGCCCCGCCAGGCCCCGCCCCTTCCAGAGCAGGCCCCGCCTCCACAAGGTCCCGCCCCTTCTCAGCGGGCCCTTCCCTCTCCTTCACCAGCCCCTGTTATTCCTACCCCGCCAGGCCCCACCCCTCCCGCAGGCCCCGCCCCCTCCCCAGTTTGCCCTTCCCCCTCCTTCACCAGCCCGTTACTCCTGCCCCTCCAGGCCCCGCCCTTTCCCCTCCAGGCCACGCCCCTCTCCACCAGCCCCTGTCCCGACAGGCCACGCCCCCTCCACAGCAGGCCTCGCCCCCTCTCTGCCATCCCCTGTTGCTCCTGCCCCGCCAGGCCCCGCCCCTTCCTCAGGCCCCGCCCCTTCCCCAGCGGGCCCTTCCCCCTCCTCCGTAAGCCCCTGCTCTGGTTCCCAGCAGGCCCCGCCCCCTCAGGCCCCGCCCTCCCTCAGGCCCCGCCCCGTCAGGCCCCGCCCCGCGGCCGCAGCATTCCCGCAGGGAAGCTCCCGCAGGCCGGGCTGGGCATGCGCAGAGCGCGCGGGCGCGGTTGCCGTGGCAGCGCCGGCGGGCGGGAGGCGGCGGGCGGGAGGCGGCGGGCGCGGAGCCGGGCACCGGCGGGCTGAGGCGGCGAGGCGCGGGGCAGGCCTGAGCGGCGGGCGCGGCGCCCGGCCGCGGGGATGCGGGACCGGCTGCCGGACCTGACGGCGGTGAGTGGCGGGCGGATAGCGGTTCGGGCCGGGGCGGGCGGGGCCTGCGGGGCGCGGGGGCTCCCCGCTGGACGGGGCGGGGCGGGTGGCATCGGAGAGGCCGGGGCGCTGCTTCTCCGGGTCGCGGTGCGGGGTGGTGGGGGGCGCGCGGGGCGGGTTCGGGGGCGCCGTGTCCTCTGTGTTCCGGACGCTCGGACGGCCGGACTCTGGGGAAACCGGCTTGGCGGGGCCCAGGCGGGGTCCGGCCCTGGACCCTTTGTAGCCGCGCTCTGCCCGCCCCCCGGCTGATGGCTGCCCTGCCCCCCCCCCCCCCCCGCACCCGGCCCCGCGGGAGGGACCTCAGCGCCCAGCGCGGGGCGGGCGCTTCGCCCCACCTGCACGGGGTGGGAGCTGGGGGGTGGCGGTGCTGCCCAGCCTGGCACCCCAGGGTGGGCGCTGGCCGCTGGGTACGCGGGAGGGCGGGGACCGGGCTGGGGGTAAACAGGTGGCCTTTCTTCCTCCGGGGCCGCAGCCGTCGGGGAGGGTGGGCGCCCTGAGCACCCAGCGAGGGGAGGGTGGGCGCCCTGAGCACCCAGCGAGGGGGGGAGGGCGCCCTGAGCACCCAGCGAGGGGAGGTGGGCGCCCTGTGCACCCAGCGAGGGGGGGTGGGCGCCCTGAGCACCCAGCGAGGGGGGGAGGGCGCCCTGAGCACCCAGCGAGGGGCGGTGGGCGCCCTGAGCACCCAGCGAGGGGCGGTGGGCGCCCGGAGACACGGGCCCCTGAGGGGTGGGCTGCCTCCCCCGTGGGTGACATGACAGCATGCGGACCGTGGGAGCCCGTTAGAGTTCCTTGTCTTTGCTTTATTTTTTTAAAGAGTTCTGGTGAGTGTGTTTCAGCCAAACTGTCGACAGTTGCCAGGAAGCAGTATCTCATCGGATTGGGATAGTGCTCCCTTAAAGTTAATAGAGGAAATTCTTCTTTTTTTAAAAAAAAGCAACAGCCATGTTTTTACTGATTTGAGAGAGGAAGGGAGAGGGGGAGAGAGAAACATCCGCGATGTGAGAGAAACTCCTGCACACCCCGGGCATGTTCCCTGACGGGGAATCGAACCCGGGACCGTGCGGTCCACAGGCTGGCGCTCTATCCACTGAGCCACACCGGCCAGGGCCCATGGGAACACTTTGGAAAGATGACCTTTTCCCCTAAAAACACGAGGATTCGTCACGTGTGTCCCTCCCCCTGCCTCCCAGGGCAGCTCAGGACGTTGGGGTGAGTGTGGGGCCCAGGCCCGGTGCCCTCAGGTGCTCCTGGCGTGTAGTGAATGAACTCTCTTTGGTCACGCGCCCACCACAGGACAATGGAGAGAGTGGAGAGAGAGAGGGGTCACTCGGGTCAGAGGAGGAACCCCCGGGGGGCAGGGTGAGGGTGGGAGGAAGTTACTGGACTCCCATCACCAGGGAGTTTGTTCACACGAGGCTTTTTCCTTCCCTTTTACCGGCTCACAGGGTGTCCCCCCAAACTGCACACACGCGTGGAACGGTCTTATCGGGGCGCGCGCGCGCGTGTGTGTGTGTACGTGTGTGTGTGTGTGTATGATGTGTTCAGAGTTTTAAAAAGCACCTTTTGCCGAGACCGGTTTGGCTCAATGGATAGAGCGTCGGCTTGGGGACTGAAAGGTCCCGGGTTCGATTCCGGTCAAGGGCATGTACCCTGGTTGCGGGCACATCCCCGGTAGGGGGTGTGCAGGAGGCAGCTGGTCGATGACTCTCTCTCATCGATGTTTCTAGCTCTCTATCTCTCTCCCTTCCTCTCTGTACAAAATAATAAAATATATTTAAAAAATAAAAAAAAATAAAAAAAAATAAAAAGCACCCTTCTCCTCACTATGAAGTATTTGCCGGCCGACGGGCTCAGGGCTGACCAGGATTGGACTCGGAGGACCCTGAGGGCCGGGTCAGTGCACGGAGCCCGCCCGGAGGGCTGGGCTGGGGGTCGGGGTGCCCTGGTCGGGGGCGCCCTGCGCCCCTCCCGTGGGGAAGAGCGTGTGAACGTCCTGGACGGTCCTCTGACCGGGAATGCTCAGCCGCGGCGTCAGCGTTTCCGTCTCCAGAGGAACCGGGCAGCGCGAGCAGTTTCACTTCCCGGCGGGGAGGCCGCTGCCCGCAGGGACCGCGCTGGGCGCCACGGGCTGCGCTGCCGGTGCCAGGGCCGCGGTGTCCCTCCGCCCCGCGTCCTCCCACAGGCTCCCCGCCCGCCTCCCGGGGCCTGCGGCCGCCCGCCTCCGGTTGTCAGGGAGCTCAGGGGCTCTGGGGCTCCGTGCAGTGCTGCCTGGGGGGCGGAGCCCGGGCCCTGGATTGCTCTGGCCTCTGCTCTTTATTACTATTATTATTATTTTTTAATATTTTTATTTTATTTTATTTTATTGATTTCCACAGAGAGGAAGGGAGAGAGATAGAGAGCCAGAAATGTCGATGAGAGAGAAACATCGACCAGTTGTCTCCTACACACCACCCACCGGGGATGTGCCCGCAACCAATGTACATGCCCCTGACGGGAATCGAACCCGGGACCTCTCAGTCCGCAGACCGACGCTCTACCACTGAGCCACACCGGTTTCGGCTTTATCACTGTTATCATTATCAGCCAGATGCATGAAGATTTGTGCAAGAACGGCCTCCCCTCCCCTGGCTGCTCGGTGCTGCGTATGCAAAGTAACCGACAGCTTTGTTAGGCTGATTTGCATACTCACTCACGGTTGGCCGGTGGGCGGGAAGGTACGGTCCGTTTGCATCTTTCTCTTTTATTAGATTTCAGAGAGGAAGGGAGAGGGAGGGAGAGGGAGGGAGAGGAATAGAAACATCCGTGATGAGAGAGAATCATGGGCCGGCTGCCTCCTGCATGCCCCACACTGGGGATCGAGCCCGCACCCTGACGGGGAATCGAACCCTGACCTCCCAGGGGCTCTGTGCCCCTGAGCCTCACGCCGCGCCTGCCGAGCTGACGCCCCTCCCGCTGCAGGTCCAGCAGAGCGATGACGGGGACACGGCCATCGTGGTCGAGAAGGACCACTTCATGGATGACTTCTTCCACCAGGTGAGGGTCCTGCAGCACAGGGGACCGGCCGCCCAGCACCTGCCCTGCCCGCCGCCCAGCACCCGCCGTCCCCGCCGCCCAGCACCCGCCCTGCCCGCCGCCCAGCACCCGCCATCCCCACCGCCCACGCATTGGGAGTGGTGCCCACAGCCATGTTTCTGTTTTGTGAATCCTCACCGGGGGTATTTTTCCATCGATCTTTAGAGAGAGGAAGGAAGGGGAGAGGACCAGTGAGAGAGGGAGGGGGAGAGAAACATGGATGTGAGAGAAACACATCGATTGGTTGCTTCTGCACGCACCCCAACCAGGGCCCAGGCCAGGGAGGAGCCCGCACCCGAGGTTCGTGCCCTCGACCGGAATCGAACCCGGGACCCTTTGGTCCGCAGGCCGACGCTCTGTCCACTGAGCCACAGGCCAGGGCCTAGCCTGGTCGGTTTTGCTGAATTCCCATGGGCATTGCCGTGGTCATAACTTGACGTGTGCATGTTCTTACCAGCACGTGATCATCCGTGTGCGGTGGGAACCGGCTTTTATCTTTCCCGTGTGATCACCACCCACCCCTCCGCCGTGCTCCCTCTTCGGCGGGAAGCCGGGGCTGGCACTGCCCGCAGGGTGACGCCCCCCTTTGTCTAGGTCGAGGAGATCAGGAACGGCATATCTAAGATAGCCCAGCACGTGGAGGAAGTCAAGAAAAACCACAGCATCATTCTGTCGGCACCAAACCCCGAAGGAAGTGAGTCGTGCCTGCCCGTCCGCCCGTCCGTCCGTCCGTGTACTGGCCTCTCCCGCTGTGGGTCCCTCAGGCCCAGCTGGGTGTGGGGAGGCGGGAGGGAGCCCGGGGGGAGGGGAGGGGGGGCCGCTGGGCAGCACCCAGACCCCGAGCCGGAAAGCCAGGCAGCCGGGCCAGCGGGAGGTTCTGCAGAACTCGGGTCCGTGTGGCGCAGGAAGGAGAATTTTGGTCAGGTGGACGCTGAGGGGCTGACCAGGGGAGCATGCAGGTCGGCGGGTGCTCAGCTGCCTGGCTCTCAGATAGAGCCTGAGGCGGGCGACCCAGCTGAGCCTTCTCAGGGGCGTCCCTCCTCTCTCCACAACCGCCCGGGCCTGTGCCTCCGCCCTCCACCCTCCGCCCTCCGCCCTCCGCCCTCCGCCCTCCGCCGCAGGAGGCGCTGGCCCAGGGACGCCCCAGAACCGGGCCCGGCAGCCGATAGTTTATCTAAAGAGACAGACGCCTGAGCAGAGAGTGAGCCCTGTAAGCCGATTGGACATCATTGGTGTTGGGCTTTATCACTCAGGTGACTTTCTTTTTTCATTTTAAAGAAATAAAAGAGGAGCTTGAAGATCTGAACAAAGAAATCAAGAAAACGGCCAACAAAATCCGCGTCAGGTTGAAGTGTGAGTTCAAGCTCTGGTTTCGCTTTCTCGCTGACGAGGGGCCTCTGGGCAGTTAGTGTTTTCTCTATGATTCTTAGTTTATGTTTTCAGAACGCTCCCGCTGTGAGTGCTCTAATCGCGTGTGTACGGCCTGGGTAGGCGCCGCTCGTGTAAGTTCTCCCTCATCTCAGGGCTGTTAACCCCCCGGAGCAGCTAGAGCTGATGTTTGCCGTCCTCCACAAGACGCAGCTGGCTTACACCTCGCTCATCTCTTTTTATGTTATTAGAACATTTTTTAAAATTGGTTCCATTAAAAAAATGTTTTTATTTCAGAGAGAGAAAGGAGAGGGAGAGAGAAAGGGAGAGGGAGAAAGGGAGAGGGAGAGAAAGGGAGAGGGAGAGAGCAAGAGAGAGGGAGAGAGAAAGGGAGAGAAAGGGAGAGAGAGCAAGGGAGAGGGAGAGAGAAAGGGAGAGAAAGGGAGAGAGAGAAAGGGAGAGGGAGAGAGAAAGGGAGAGGGGGGGAGAGAGAAACATGCACGATGAGAGAGGATCGTGGTTCAGCTGCCTCCTTCACCTCCCCTCCCCCCTCCAAGCTGGGGATGGAGCCCACACCCGGGCCTGTGCCCTGACAGGGAATCCAGCCTCGACCTCTCGGTTCCTAGGTCGGCGCTTAATTGGTGAGCCATGCCAGCCGGGTTTTTTTCTTTTAAATGTTAACATGTGACGTGTGGGTGAACATGTGACGCGTGGGTGAACATGTGACGTGTAGGTGAACATGTGACGTCTGGGTGAACATGTGATGTCTGGGTGAACATGTGACGTGTAGGTGAACATGTGACGTCTGAGTGAACATGTGATGTGTAGGTGAACATGTGACGTGTGGGTGAACATGTGATGTGTGGGTGAACATGTGACGTGTAGGTGAACATGTGACGTCTGGGTGAACATGTGATGTGTGGGTGAACATGTGACGTGTAGGTGAACATGTGACGTCTGGGTGAACATGTGATGTGTAGGTGAACATGTGACGTGTGGGTCTATTTTGTGATATCGTCACCAAACCCGCACGCGGACGGGAGGAGGGGGAAGCGCGCTGAGTCTGGTGTGCCGGCCCTCCCGCTGACGCCCCCTGTGCCCGCAGCCATCGAGCAGAGTCTGGACCAGGATGGCAGCGCGCCCCACGCGTCCGTGGACGCCCGCATCCGGAGGACCCAGGTCTGCGCCCGCCTCCTCACGTGGGGGGGGGCCTCCTCTCTTACTTCCCTCCGGCCACGGCCCTCGGGCGTTTGCATAAACACGATGGTGTATAGATCCCTCCTGACCAGGAAGGGATTCTGCCGGAAGCCGAGAATGAGGGGGTCACCAGAGTGTCCGTGGCGGGGCCTCTCCTCCTGGGGTTACAGGCAGAGAGGGAACGGACTGGCCCCCTGCCCAGCGGGGTGCACGCCTGGTCCTCCCCACCCCTCCCCAGCCTGGTCCTCCCGCCAGGCCTCCCCGGGGCTGGCTGCCCTCGGTCTGGGCCCCCGCCTCCCTGAGGGGTGACGGGGCCTGCGGAGGAGGTGTGTCCCCTGGTCCCGGCAGGCGCGGTCCCTCGTGTGCACGTCCGTCACGCTGTTCTCCGCGGCGTGTCGATGGGGGTGCCGTGGGCGCTAACCAGTGTGCTCACCGGGGGCCGCCGCCCACAGCACTCCGTGCTCTCCCGGAAGTTCGTGGACGTGATGGCCGAGTTCAACGAGGCCCAGACGGTCTTCCGGGAGCGCAGCAAGGGGCGCATCCAGCGGCAGCTGGAGATCAGTGAGTGCCGCCGCCGCGGCCTGACCCCTGACCCCTGACCCCTGACCCCTGACCGCAGGCAGCTCCTCCTCGGCAGCCTGGGAGCCTGGGGCGGGAGGCGGGCACTGCGGGGGAAGGGCCGAGGCCTCGGAGGTCCGAGGGCGGCGTGGGCTGGAGGGCCCTCCGGGACCGTCACCCTGAGGGGCCTGCCTCGACCTTGCAGCTGGGAAGGTGACCACGGACGAGGAGCTGGAGGCGATGCTGGAGAGCGGGAACCCCTCCATCTTCACCTCCGACGTGAGTGCCGCCCACCCGCCCCTGTGTGTCTGCCGGCATGTCCCCGCCTCCGAGCAGTCCTCCCGTCCTCATCCCCGTCCTCAATCCTCAGTCCTCATCCCCATCCTCAGTCCTCAGTCCTCATCCCCGTCCTCAGTCTTCAGTCCTTATCCCCATCCTCAGTCCTCATCCCCGTCCTCAGTCTTCAGTCCTCAGTCCTCATCCCCGTCCTCAGTCCTCATCCCCGTCCTCAGTCCTCATCCCCGTCCTCAGTCCTCATCCCCGTCCTCAGTCCTCAGTTCTCATCCCCGTCCTCAGTCTTCAGTCCTTATCCCCATCCTCAGTCCTCATCCCCGTCCTCAGTCCTCAGTCCTCATCCCCGTCCTCAGTCTTCAGTCCTCAGTCCTCAGTCCTCATCCCCGTCCTCAGTCCTCAGTCCTCATCCCCGTCCTCAGTCTTCAGTCCTCAGTCCTCAGTCCTCATCCCCGTCCTCAGTCCTCATCCCCGTCCTCAGTCCTCAGTCCTCAGTCCTCAGTCCTCATCCCCGTCCTCAGTCTTCAGTCCTCAGTCCTCAGTCCTCATCCCCGTCCTCAGTCCTCATCCCCGTCCTCAGTCCTCATCCCCGTCCTCAGTCCTCATCCCCGTCCTCAGTCCTCAGTCCTCATCCCCGTCCTCAGTCCTCATCCCCGTCCTCAGTCTTCAGTCCTCAGTCCTCAGTCCTCATCCCAGTCCTCAGTCCTCAGTCCTCATCCCCGTCCTCATCCCCGTCCTCAGTCCTCATCCCCGTCCTCATCCCCGTCCTCAGTCTTCAGTCCTCAGTCCTCAGTCCTCATCCCAGTCCTCAGTCCTCAGTCCTCATCCCCGTCCTCATCCCCGTCCTCAGTCCTCATCCCCGTCCTCAGTCCTCAGTCCTCATCCCCGTCCTCAGTCCTCATCCCCGTCCTCAGTCCTCATCCCCGTCCTCAGTCCTCATCCGTCCTCAGTCCTCAGTCCTCATCCGTCCTCAGTCCTCAGTCCTCATCCCCGTCCTCAGTCCTCAGTCCTCATCCCCGTCCTCAGTCCTCAGTCCTCATCCCCGTCCTCAGTCCTCATCCCCGTCCTCAGTCCTCAGTCCTCATCCCCGTCCTCAGTCCTCAGTCCTCAGTCCTCATCCCCGTCCTCAGTCCTCATCCCCGTCCTCAGTCCTCAGTCCTCAGTCCTCAGTCCTCATCCCCGTCCTCAGTCCTCAGTCCTCAGTCCTCATCCCCGTCCTCAGTCCTCAGTCCTCAGTCTTCAGTCCTCAGTCCTCAGTCTTCATCCCCGTCCTCAGTCCTCAGTCCTCAGTCCTCATCCCCGTCCTCAGTCCTCAGTCCTCAGTCCTCATCCCCGTCCTCAGTCCTCAGTCCTCAGTCTTCAGTCCTCAGTCCTCAGTCCTCATCCCCGTCCTCAGTCCTCAGTCCTCATCCCCGTCCTCAGTCCTCAGTCCTCATCCCCGTCCTCAGTCCTCATCCCCGTCCTCAGTCCTCAGTCCTCAGTCCTCAGTCCTCATCCCCGTCCTCAGTCCTCATCCCCGTCCTCAGTCCTCATCCCCGTCCTCAGTCCTCAGTCCTCATCCGTCCTCAGTGCCTCTCCTGCTTCCCGCAGATCATCTCGGACTCGCAGGTGACCAGGCAGGCCCTCAACGAGATCGAGTCTCGGCACAAGGACATCATGAGGCTGGAGACCAGCATCCGCGAGCTGCACGAGATGTTCCTGGACATGGCCATGTTCGTGGAGACGCAGGTGACAGGACACACACACACACACACACACACACACAGACATGTTCGTGGAGATGCAGGTGACCGGGGAGGGGAGGGAGCAGTGGGGGGAGCCTCTTTGGATCCGCAGCCTCGCTGGCGAAGGGCTGGGGGTGTCTGCGGGCCGGAAGGTGGGGACTGCCGGCTTCATACCAGCAGCGAGGGGCCGGCCGGTTAATCCGTGAGGCGAGTCCACGGCAGCTGCTGACAGTGAGGGGCACACACTCCTGTCCCTGAGCTGTGACCTGTGTTTGTTTTTAATCCTCACCGGGGAAATCTTCCCAGGGGTTTTAGAGAGTGTGGAGGGGAGGGGGAGAGAGAGAGAGAGAGAAACGTCGACGTGAGAGAAACACATTCCTTGGTTGCCTCCTGCACACGCGCGGACCAGGGCCCGGGCTGGGGAGGAGCCCACAGCTGAGGTCCGTGCCCTTGACCGGCATCGAAACAAAACCCTTCGGTCCGCAGGCTGAGGCTCCATCCACTGAGCCACACCGGCCAGGGCCCTGAGGGTTTTTAACGAGATAGACAAATGCTGCAGCTGTGAGTTAACAGGGAGATGGGAAACTTGGTGTGGAGACTATGTACACAGGCGTGTATACACGTGTGCAATGCCATGAGCGAGAAGACCATGGCCTGCGTGTGATGGCGGTGGCCCCGGGAGTTTCAATGTTCTTCTCTGAACGAGACGCGTTTTCACGTCTGAGCCCCTGCGTCGCCTCCTGTGAGCCTGGGAGGGGTGCGTCACGTGGACTGTATAGCCCCGCGGTCGGCAAACTGCGGCTCGAGAGCCACCTGCGGCTCCCTGGCCCCTGGAGTGCGGCTCTTCCACAAAACACCACGGCCCGGGCAGTCTGTGTGAAGAAGTGGCGTCAGAAGCCGTTCAGTTTAAAACGTGGCTCTCCAGAGACATGTCAGCCGTTGTGCTGAGGGTGTGTGGCTCTGTGGACGGTGTGTGCCGTCGCGGTGCAGTCCCCGGGTGAGTTCCGGTGGAGACCGTGAGCTACCTGCGTCCTCCCCAACGCCGCGTGCGGGAGGACGGGGCCCAGGTAACGCCCCCCGCATGCCCGCCCTCGCCACCACCGCGGTCGCCTGCGCCCGCCCCCCTCGCTCTCCCACACGCGAGCCGGCTGTGCCTGCTCCGAGTCGGTCCACCTGCCGCCGTCCGTCCTCTCATCCCCGTACAAACGCCATCGCCGGCCATCCCACTGACGTCGCCTCGTGTCCGCCCGCCAAGGCCGGCGTCTCCTGAGCGAGGGCTCTGCTTCCAGGGCGACATGATCAACAACATCGAGAAGAACGTGACGAGCGCCGCGGACTACGTGGAGCGCGCCAAGGAGGACACCAAGAAGGCGGTCAAGTACCGGAGCAAGGCGCGCAGGGTGAGCGCCGCGGCCACGGGGCCGCCCACCCGGCCCCCACAGACCCCGTCCCCCGCCCGCCCCATCCCCCGTCCGCCCCGGCCCCCGTCCACCCCATCCCCCGCCGGCCCCGTCCCCCGCCGGCCCCCATCCACCGCCCGCCCCGTCCCCCGCCGGCCCCCATCCACCGCCCGCCCCGGCCCCCATCCACCGCCCGCCCCGTCCCCCGCCGGCCCCGGCCCCCGCAGACCCCGTCCCCCGCCTGCCCGCCCCATCCCCCGCCCGCCCCGGCCCCGGCCCCCGCAGACCCCGTCCCCCGCCCGCCCCATCCCCCGCAGACCCCGTCCCCCGCAGACCCCGTCCCCCGCAGACCCCGTCCCCCGCAGACCCCGTCCCCCGCAGACCCCGTCCCCCGTCCACCGCCTGCCCCGTACCCCGGGAGACGCCTAGGAGTCCGTTAGGTGATGGTGCTCCTTTTTTTTTTTTTTTTTTTAATATATTTTATTGATTTTTTACAAAGAGGAAGGGAGAGGGACAGAAAGTCAGAAACATCGATGAGAGAGAATTATCGACCAGCTGCCTCCCGCACCCCTCCCCCCACCACCACCGGGGACATGCCAGCAACCAAGGTCCATGCCCTTGACTGGAATCGAACCCGGGACCCTCCAGTCTGCAGGCCGACGCTCTATCCACTGAGCCGCACCGGCCGGGACCGGGCTTGTCTTAGAGGCTCGGGCCCCAGGAGAGTCTCGGCAGGAAAGGACTCGGTGACTCCTCGCCTCCCGCCTCGCAGGTTAACTCCCGTCCCCCTTTGTCTTGCAGAAAGTGGTGCTCATTGTTATTTGTGTCTCTGTTTCGCTTCTGATCCTCGGAATCGTCCTCGCAGCGACATTGTCATAGCAACCGCAGCCCAGGAGCCCTCCGCCCGTCCGGGCGTCCGCCCTCCCACGTCACGCACCAGCCGGGCGCGGGGCCGCGGAGCAGCTGCAGGACGCGGAGGGAGAGCCGCCCGCAGCCCGCCCGGCGCTGAGCCAGCAGCCCCGCCGGCCTTCGATCGGGCATTACTGACGGTCCGGTTTTTTACGTGCAGTGTTAGGGCCGGGTGTGTGGAGTTCCCCGGGAGCTCTGTAGGTCTGAAGCCGGAGATGCCAGGTCCGAGGCCCGGCCCGCCCCGCGCACGGGCTCACGGCGCTTCTGCCCGCGGTTCGCCGGAGCCCGCGTCACCCTCCCGAGCCCTGTGAGAGGCTCCGATGTGGAGTGTTTATAAATGAACTTTAATATATCGGCACCTTCCTCGGCCCCCTTTTCTATGCCAGACGCTGCCTCTCGCCAGGACCAGGAGGCTCGAGGTCCGAGCCGTCCGTGCCACATGTTTACAAGCTTGGCTGCCGCCACCCGAGGCCTCGGTGCCCGCCGGCCGTGGGCGCCAGGCGGGGAGGGCCCCGCGCTCACAGCCAGTCCGCTCGCCCCCGCCTGCCACCCGCAGCGGCTCTGCGACGGCACCCACCGCGAGGCGTGCCCAGCGGGGCGTGTGCCCGCTCACGCAAGTCTCAAGGTCAGACCGCCAGGCCCTCCTTCCCACGCAGGGACTTACTCCGGGACCGCGCTTCCTGCACGTGAGGCAGCGACGAGCCGTTTTAATGAAGGATCCCCGGGAACCGGCCCCGCGGCCTCCGTCCCCGGCCGTGGAAGCAGGGGCGGCGTCGCCCGCCGTCTGGTTCGAAAGCCCACGCGGACGCCCCTGACCTTCAGCCGTGTTCCTCCCGACCACGGCGAGGAGTCCCGCTCCGTCACGTCCGTCCACCGACGGCTTAGCCGCCACGCGGGCATGTGCGTCCCTCGCCGGAGCCTCCGCCCTCCTCGCAGCCGGGGCGAGCTCTGGCCGTGCTGCCCTGGGGCCGCGGGGAGGAGCCGGGTGGAGATGGCGGCTGAGCCTGCGCCGCGTGGGCACCTGCCCGTCCGTGCGGCCACGCCCACCCGTGGGAGCTGCGGCCTCTCCCCGAGGCCTCTCCCCCGGCCCCCGTGCAGCCGGTCGGGCCTCCCCTTCCCGGCGGCTCCCGCTGCGTCGTCCTCAAGCCGATCTTCCCGGACCCGAAGCCCTGACCGAACCCGTGTTTCATGGCTGACGCCACGGAGACGCTGTCTGGTTTCTAGATATTCACGTCATTTTCCAGATAACACGCGTGTGTGTGTCTAACCCTCCTGGACCGATCCGAAGTCAGATTTTAAAAAATACTTATGCAGGTTCACTTGTCACCTCCTACTGTGTTTACATTAAAAAAACAAGACAATTCCCGAGTCCCGAAACATCGACAAGAAGCACTCGGTGAACAGCCCCCAAACACCACTTGCCTTATCACTTCTGGGAAGAGAGTGGGGAGCTGTCTTAGTGCACACCCGCTAATAAACGTCCTGAGGAAGTCCGCTCGCCGTGCGTCACTGTGTGTGATGGGAGTTAATGACTGTAGGTGTCTTTGGTAACATTTTTAAAAAGTATTTTTTTTTTTTATTGATGACCAAGAGGAAGGGAGACGGGGGAGAGAGAAACATCCATGAGAGAGAATCACGGGCCGGCTGCCTCCTGCACACCCCCACTGGGGATCGAGCCCACAACCCTGGGCCTGTGCCCTTGGCTGGAATTGAACCCGGGACCCTTCAGTCCACAGGCTGACGCTCTATCCACTGAGCCACACCGGCCAGGGCTCTGGTACCATTTTTGATCATTCGTTATTGTTGTTACAAGCTTCTGTGTCCGGCCTCAGATGCCAGCAGCTCCGGTGCCCCAATTCCCCACCTCCCTGGCCCACGCTAGATGGAGGGGTTTGGGCCTTGACTGACGAGGCCGATTAGGCAGCGTCCCTACCGTTGGCCAATAGGGGGCGCCCTCCGCCAGGCTCTGAGCCATGGACCTCTACTTTCCCAAGTCCTCTCTAAGCGTCTGTCCGTCCGTCTGTCTGTCTGTCTGCAGCGGAATGTTCTCACCACGACGCTCAAAGCCAGCGTCAGGCCCTGGCCGGCGGCTCAGGGGGTTGGGGTCGCCAGTTGATCCCCCTTCAGGGCACAGGCCAGGGTGGCGGGCGGATCCCCCGTGGGGGCGTGCAGGAGGCAGCGGATCCATGACTCCCATCACGGATGTCTCTCTCTCCCCCTCCCCCCTTATCCCTTTTATATATAAAGAAAGTAACGGTTTTGATTTCCGCTCCCTGCGGTGCCCGAGTCCCCAGGCTGCAGAGCACCCTCCGGGCACCAGAGGGCGCCCCATCCCAGGCGCCGAGTCTGGGCTCCCCCCCCCCCCACCTTGCTGGGGAACGCGGCTTCTTCGTCTCTCTGGCAGCTGTTTTCTTCACCCATGGGTGTCGATCAAACCCCATTTTCTGGCTGACCCCGCGGCCCCGGAGGAGCTGTGTGTGTGGCTCCTGAAGGGGGGCCTCCCCGGCCTCCGGGAGCCATGGCGACGGGGCCCGCCCGCTGGGGCTGCGGGGAGGCTTCCGCGGAGCAGGCTCTGCGGGCGCGGAGGGGGAGGGCGAGCAGGGCGCCTGGTCCTGGGGGGAGGAGGGGGGATGGATCCTGGCGGAGCCTCCTGAGAAGCCTCTGGGAGTTTCCCACAATGCTTAGAGGCCTCCAGGACCACCGCCCCCGGACGTGAGCGCCCCCGGGAGGGACGCCCAGGTGACCGGGCCAGGTGCCCAGGTTTCCGATCCTTATTTGGACCCTCCGCGGGCCGGACAGACAGATGGGGCGGAAGAGCCGCCGCGAAGGGAGAAGGGAGGAGGGAGGAGGCGTGGGAGCCGCGGAGCGGTCCCAGGAGGGGAGGAGGCGGGAGGGGCGGGCTGCACAGCGCACCCTTCACCCACCCGCGGGGAGGGCCCCTGGGGCTTTCAATGCCCCGGACACCAGGGCGCGTCCTAAGGAGGCCGCAGCGGGTGGACAGGGAAACAGAACCGGGAGATGGCCAGTTTGGGGAGGGCGAGGCGGAACCGTTAGCCCCCGGCAAGGGAGGCCTGCCCGGACCAGGACTTAAGAACCAGGACTTTACCCCCTTGTGGGCGGGGAGCAGGAACCGTTAGAAAAGGAAAGGGGTTCAGCGCCGACCTGTGAACCTGCGGGTCAGGGTTCGATTCCCGGGTTCCCCAGGAGGGGGCGTGCGGGAGGCAGCCGGTCCCTGGTTCCCTCTCCTCCCTCCCTTCCCCTCCCTTCCTCTCTGACATCAATGCCAACATATTTTTAAAAAGAAAAAAAGAACCAGGCGGAGGACGGAGAGCCATCTTGGCAGGTGTCTGCGCGCGCGCCTGTGTGCGCCTGTGTGTCTGCGTGTGTGTGTGCGCCTGTGTGTGTGCGCCTGTGTGCGCGCCTGTGTGTGCGCCTGTGTGTGCGCCTGTGCGCGCCTGTGTGTGTGCGTGTGTGTGCGTGTGTGCGCGCCTGTGTGTGCGCGCCTATGCGTGTGTGCGCGGGGCGGGGGCGGGGCCGCGCGTGTGAACACTGACGTCTCCCTCCCGCCCCGCCGCCGGCGGCTGATCCTCCTCGCTCCTCCCCGCCCGCTCCGCCGCCCCCGCCCCCGCCGTAACCTGACACAGCGACTGCAGTCCCGCCGCCGCGGCGCTCGGAGCCGGAGCCGGAGCCGGAGCCGGAGCCGGAGCCGGGCCGCTGGGGAAGGTAGGCTGATGGGCGTCTCTCACCCGGACCGCAGCCTGGGGTCCCGGCTGCAGGGCCGGGGGGCAGGGCGGGGGGACGCTGCCCGCACAAAGTTTATTTCGGGGGCGGGGGGTACGTGCCCTTCAGCGGGGCCGCGCGGAGGCCGGGGAGGGGCGCGGAAGCTGGGGGGGCGCGGAAGCTGGGGGGGCGCGGAGGCCGGGAGGGCGCGGAGGCCGGGGGGCCGCGGAGGCCGGGGGGGGGGGGCGCGGAGGCCGGGGGAGGGGCGTGGAGGCCCGGAGGGCGCGGAGGCCGGGAGGGCGCGGAGGCCGGGGGGTGGGGGCGCGGAGGCCGAGAGGGGCACGGAGGCCCGGAGGGCGCGGAGGCCGGGAGGGCGCGGAGGCCGGGGGGTGGGGGCGCGGAGGCCGGGAGGGGCACGGAGGCCCGGAGGGCGCGGAGGCCGGCTGGGGGTGCGCGGACCCGGCGCGGAGGGAGAGGCGGGTCCGGGTGTCTGCCCGCCGCTCCTCGCGCCCGGGTGGGATGGAGCTTCGTGGTCCCCAGGGATGGATGTTCCGTCCCCGGAGGCCAAGGCTGGCGGCCCCGGCTCTGGGGGGCTCCCCCGGCCCCCAGCTTTGCAGGGAAGCGCTCCGGGCCAAGTTCACCCGCGCCCACCACCCGGCAGCGCCTCCCTGACCCCGGGATGTGATTGTCTGGGTCCCAGCCTCCGGGGCTTTGGCGGGGGAATGGGGGGTGTCTCCCTGCGCGAGGGGGATGGCGGGGGTGGGGAGCGGAGAGGGGGCTCCGGACCCCCAAACCAGAGCGTTGGCCGGCTCACTCCCAGCTCGGGCGGCGGGGGGCGCGCAGGGGGGACCGGCGCGGAGAGCCTGTCCGTTCGCCCCAGACCCGCTGGAAGAGCGTGTTTGTCAGACAGATGTTTCCGGCGGAGCGTGTGCGCGCGCGCGCGTGTGTGCATGTGTGTGTGCATGTGTGTGCACACAGCAGCCGTGTGCAGGCACCCCCCCAAGCTGTATTTTGTATTTGTTTCCTGGAAATGCAGTGTTTAGGGGACCCCCTACCCGGGGGAACTTGTGGTTTGGGGAGCCTGGGGGTGGGGCTCGGGCGCAGCCGGCTGGCCAGACCTGAGGCCTCTGTGGGGGCGGGTCGGCCCCCAGGAGTCCACACGCTGCCCCCCCACTATGTCCCTGTCAGGAGCTGAGGGCTGGGGAGGGGGCCTCACCTTGTCATTGGGGAGAGGGGCTCCCCGGCCTCTG